TTGGAAAGTTGTACCGCAAGTTGAGTTAAAATTTGTTTGTTATGATGAAAAATTATCGCATTCACATAAACAAACATGCATCGTAAATCGATTGAATTTTTTTCCGGTAGATACAGTAAATCGATCTTGCCGGATAGACCACAACGTTTTAATACTACATCGAGCGTATTTTTAATTTCAGTTTGGAATGTTTTTTTTGACCAAATTAGCAAATCGATAAAAATTGTCCTTGGGATTTTTAAGAATTCACATTTCATCGTTTCCATAGGATTAACCTTTATCTTCCGATTGTTTATGTTTATTCCTGCGAACTCATATTTCTGATTTACTTTTTCAATATCCAAATCAACAACTCGTATCTGAATTTCTTGAATTTTTAGATTGGTGTTGGACTTTGTGTTTGTTATTATCGAAACAAACTGGTCATAAATCTCAAGAACCATCGACTTTCGTAGTATAAAATTCCAGTCGTATCCTCCCGTATTAAATCCGAATTCGATGTCTGGTGAATAACTCTGATATAATTCTGCAAATTTTAATATTAAATCTTGCTGAGATTCTAATTGAATTATATGGTAATCTTTAGGATCACATTGTAAACTAGATCCATATTTTGATAAAAATTTCACGTGATTAATCGGAATAGTCGTTAGACAAAATCTGTTGATCTTTTCACCGAAGAATATGTCAACCTGAATCATATACACATAATCATCAGGTTCTTCTCCAGATGGTAAGTAACCCGGTCCTCGCAGAGATGTTGTTTCAATATCCCAGTAAAGTAAAAGAAGTTTTGGCGATTCTGAATATTCTATTTTTTCAATCTGATTAAACGATATTGTCATATCATCATGAAAAAATATTGAATCTATTTTATACCATCCAACCAGTCTGAAATTTTTATCATACGCTACTTTTCTATAATAACATGAATTGGCATCCGAATACGTGTCATACCGTTCATAAAACTCTTGTAATTCGAGATTTCTTTGATCTGAAAAGGATCTTTTAAGTTCTTTTTCTTTTTCTTCGTATTTTTTCTTTATCTCAGTTTCTTTCTCAACAATTTTATCTAAAGCTTTCTTTCGATCCCTAAGAGACAGATAAAATAAACGAAGAAACCGATATTCTTCTGTCGAATCGAAAGGTTGTGCCATAAACAACTCATGATAATCTGGTAAAAATTCATCTTTATATTCTGGTATCAATTCTTCAGATTTGATTTTAATATTGAAAAACACTATGTCTTCCTCATATATGTTAATCCTGAATTTGGTTCCATCAGCTCGAATAGTATGCAAAGTTAACAAATATCTTTTCTTTAAATTAGAAGAGTCGATCGCATTGTAGACAAAAAATATATTGGATTCCTTGAATTCGATTAGATCAGAACGTGAAAACATAATTACACAGATAAATTTCTACTCGGTTAAAAACTGAGTAGATTAAAAATGTAAAAAAGTTGATGAAATATCAAAACAGTAAATCGTTGATTGTCAACTTCATTATTAAATGTGATTGAACAGATGAAAATCTGCTCGGTTAAAAACTGAGCAGATTAAAACAAAAATAAATTTTACTAAATTAAAAGCAAAAGGTCCTCAATATTATATTTACGAGA